CTTCGCACACAGTGTACAGCGGGGAGTTGCATAGGGTCTACACTGCCTACAACTATATCAGCACATAGCAACAAGTATGGTCTATATCTCTCCGCTGTACAGATAGGCAGATAGGGTGCTGTTGGCATTAACTTTTATAACGCATTTGGTGCCGAAACAGCCAGTAGCTGCGAGCGCCTTCTTGTTCACATGTGTCTGTACATGGGCTGATGGCGTGAAAATCTTGATCTTACGAGTCACTGGGTTCGAAATCGCAATCTTTCGCTTCGAAAGCACAGGAATAGCAAGGACTGCCAAGGAGGAACGCTATCGTCGGCTGTTTCAGGTGGCTGAAGTGCAGGTATGTCGGGCGGACAAAACCTCGAGTCTCGTTTTCATTGGTTTACTGTTTAGTTTCATGATTATGATGATGAGGGCAGTGTCGCCTGTAGGTGTACGGACCGCAGCCGATCGCGGCGCCGCTGAGAAATGAGCATGCGTGCGCGCGCCGCGCGGAGGTCAGGGTACACTGGTGACTGGTTCACTCCGCCCGTTTCTTCCGTCTGCTCCGTCCCAAAGCGCCCGATCGCGCGGGACTTGCTTCAGACTTTCAGAGTGACTACTAAAAAGATATGTGCCCAAATACAGTCAACAGTGCAGTGTGAACCGCATCCTTGTGTCGTTCTGTCCTGATATGCAACGACGTGACGTGGGTAGGCGCCGCCCGCACCCAGTCACCCACCACAGTTCATAGGTTAGACGTCAAGTACAGGACTGTATTCATGATACTATAATTATAGCAAGAGTAGATCTACTCCTTAATGTACTTAGGTAGAGGTTTTACTCTTACATGTACATGTCTGTACTCTTGTCAGTCTTGATAAGCCCCGGGCCCGGGTATGGTGGTGGCCTGGTGCGATCAAAACTACTGTAACTTTGTAAGCCGCTAACTAAGCTGGTACAATAGTGCGTTTCTAAAGACATTTGCCGGTTGGGTATTACTAGTACCGGCATATTGAGAAAGAAAGTGTGAAATGTCTCATTAGATATTAGTGCCACTGTCCTGCGAGTTTCATGCCTGCATGTATACTCACAAAGCTTCTGTGAGAAGCTAGCGCTAAGCGACTGCATTCCTCTACAGTCCATTCAGAAAAAAATGAACTTCTAGCTTTTGGCCATAAATGGGTCAAACGTTGAGTTTTTTTAGAATTTTTTTCTGCAATCCCATATGGAATCCTCTTCCAATTATGTTTCTGAAGTTTTTTTGTCCAAAAAGCAAGCCATAGCAAGAATAGGATTTCGGCCAGGTTTTGCCCCAAAAGCACTGAATTGGAAAAAACCATCAAAATCCAGGCCGTTTGACCCCGCCTGCAACAGTGCATTCTGCGGTTCGAACCCCAGTTCAGGCACCCTTTTGGACCCTTTTTCAAATTTCAAAGTTCGCAGCACTGCACTGTGTACGATGAAATCACGAAAAATCGCCAAATACGGGAGCTCGCCAGAGCCAGGACCCATTTTTTTCTGAATGGACTGTAGCGCCTGGCGAGGCCCGCGGAGGATCCGCATGTTGTTATACTTCATTTATACATGTAGTATACGGCATATCATGTTTGAGGTGTGGCTGTCATTATTAATTGTATCACCCTTGTCTAGCGCAGGACACAATATTTTTATTCAAGCCCAACCACTGCATGCTGCCTGCACGCCGGGTAGATCTACACTGAGTGTGAGGACACGCTTTACGGGTAGATCTACACCATGTCAACTATACTGTCTACGAGCAATCAACACAGCAGTGCAGTGTGCCAGGCCGGCTACACGTACAGTACATTACTAAGATTAGTAATAATTATGACTGTATTGTTGTAAAAGCACTGGGATTGATACGCAGATCTACGTAGGATCGAAATTCACGCGCCATCTTTCCGTGCGCACCTACACTAGGCTACAGGCCTCCGAACATCCATAATATGCAACTACCGGTAATTACTGTCCGAGCAAGTAGCCAGTTGCTTTCTCTCTCGCTCTCTCTCCCTTCGTGGGGGTAGCTGTATTGGAGGACCTTATCAAATCGTGGTTGATGTTTTGTTGAGCTTTAGACTTGCAGAATAGCACTTCCAGCGTCGATTTTCACCTGAGCTGCCGCCGCTCAGTCGAGCTTTACTAAGTAGCAAGTACAGATGTGAACTCCCTGTGTCTTGTTTTGTGTGTTGTCCCCACATGTCTCTTTGAAGGGCTGTGTTCCCAGTAAAACAAAAATGTTTTGGGAAGGAAGGTTAGTGGTTTGCTTGTGGGATTCCGAGATGGCCGCGGCATACCGGTCATAGTCCACCAACAGGCCACACCGCCCTCCGACTCGACTGAGTCAACCTGGCGACGAGGAACGCCTCCAGCACGGGTCTTGCCACTTATGGATTAATTATTTCACGGCGTGTTCACTCAAGTGCCTATGAGTCGTGCTGTGGAGTCGGAAAAGGGTATGACTATTCCTGGCACAGTGTGACCCGGAGTCTATAATAATTATTATGGACACCATGACTGTGCCACTGTGGACTCTTGGTAGGAGCTGGCGAAAGCTCCGCTTGATCATCTCGATCGTTCCGATGAAGTACAGAGTACAACTGCAGGTCAAAGAGGATCCTGTTCATCGTGCTAACCCAGCGGACAACGCATACTTGCAGTATCCACTATCCAGTACTCGGGACAATGGGCTGAGATTCATCCCGAACACCCTGGAAGAAAACACGGGCAGACAAGATGGCAGGACCTGACGGTAGGTGACGCTATGGGAAGTAGGGAGTACTAACTTGGTATGGACTGAGGAAAGAAGCGGCACTACATTAGTACACAAGTCACATACCTTGAACCTGCTCCCTCGCAGCCGTGGTTTTGAAGGCGGGGCGAATCACTGACTTTTCCAGACGTCCATGACAGCTATGCCGTTTACTCTAAACTAGAGGACACAACATCTGGACCTTGGCCTGCCGGAAAGACACACAGGCATGCCCTGACGCTATCACTCAATCGAGTCATGCATGCATGACTTGCATGTACCGTAAAGTACCGCCAGAGCGCCCCACCATCTCGTCCTTTCGTGGTCGTATTGTGGAGGTGATCCCCTGCCTGTAGGTCATACGACACAGTAGCATTGTGAGGTAAAGCCAAAGCTATAGCCCATAGCAAGAGTACAGTCTGTATCGGCTATAGAGTGACCGGATAAAAGAATATATCGGCTACAGTGATACTGGTACGAAATATCAAAAGCAAAACGTATTTTATCCAGCAAAAATATCACTATAACCAATATTATCGGATGTAATGATATATCGGATATTATGATGGCAGCAAAGAATCAAAACATGCATAACACACTATAATTATTATCGGCTATAGTGATAACTATAAAAATGCTTGTAGCAATCAATATCAAAGGCCCTATTTTTTTACTTTCTTCAGTGAGACTTCACATTGCTTATTTTTATAGGGATACATGTACATGTACATAACAGAATTTTTTACGGAAATGCGGGCACTGTCAACTATGCAGCATGCTCATTTGTCAAAACGCCACGCTGGAAGTATTTCCTTGCCTTTCATGTGTCGATCGAAATAAAAATAAAAAAATCGATCGTATCGCATATAGTGATGCATCGGATATAGTGATAATATCACGGAAATCAAAAGGGTACGCTATAGCCGATACAGACTGTACATGAAAACGTTTTTCATGTACTCTTGCCCATAGGCTGACGGTAGGGGCAGGATATAGACCTCCTGACTTTTCCAAAGAGCTCGACGTAGCGAGGGCCCACCTCTCCTCCCTCTTCGCCCTTGCCTCCTCAACCGAAGTCAGGTAACCACGGAGTCCCGGATTGGGTCTAATTGGGGTAGAAATAATCTTGGCTCAAACTGGGAATTGAACCTACAATCAGGGCTTATGTACTCTTGCTACTGAAGTACAATTCATGTTTCGAAAAACACTTGGCCAACTACGTTCGTAGTACTCGTTATTAGGGAGGTTTCGCTCTACGTAATTACGTATGAAAATCCGTATGCCGTACACGCCGGGGAGCGAGGGCAACTTTCATACGTAAATCTCTCTACGGATTTCCGTAGGAAAGTTGTTTCCTACGTTGGGGCCTCCGTTGGACTTTTTGCAATATTTTTCGCATTTTCCGGATTTATCCATGGCAAAGTTCAAGCCGCGTGAAACACAAGGCGACAAGGTACACACACCGTACACCACGTGCAAAATACGATGGAAAACGCGGTTTCAGTTCGTGGTGCATGCGGTGGGTGCATGCAGCCAACGCGTCTCCAAAGCAACAAGGCATGTTTAGCAATCGTGGAGAAATCACATAGAGCGAAACTCAACAGCACTGATCTTTACGTATGAAAATTACGTGCAGTTCCTACGTTATTTTCATACGTAATTCCGTAGAGCGAAACCTCCCTATTGTGTGTATTGTGCAGACACGTGCATGTACAACCATGTACTGAGCATGTGTCAGTGTGTATGCATGCATATCCATGGTCCCTCGCATTTCTAATCCATGTTCTGGCACTGGTCTCTGAAATGAAATGAGCACACGGACCCGGGGCATGATTCCTCTCATCTTCTGAGCTAGGCTATTGTTCACACGATACATGACTGAAAATCCTGAAATGTGTCGAGTAGCAAGCTCTGGCTGAAAGGTAAGACTAAACCTCGCCGTCACTCAGCTTCAAGACAAAGCACACGCTTTTGCGGCTCCCTGCTTCACAACAAATGACCTCCTCGGGACTCCAGACAGCCAACAGCACAAAAAGGTGTTGCATGAAAGGCAATGGCAGGACATTACTGACAGGTGTTCACCCTCTCAAAAAATAATTAGCAGAGTCAGGGGAACTCGCTGGAGCCTGTGCAGAGAAGGAATGACTGCAGCCAGAACAGCACACTTGTACACAAGTCATGGCTCTTGACTACATGTACCAGTACTACTCCAACGGCTCAGGCTACGATTCTGACGGTCTGGACTCACTCAAAGAGACAACTATTTATAGCGGCGTTATTCGAGCTTGTCCACATCATTGTGAACTTTCAATTCCTATGTGTAAAAGAGATCAAACGCATTCCAACAAAACCAGCAGTCATGATGTTGAATAGTTTCAGAGACATGGCCCGGGTGGAGACTGAACAATTTGAAAAAGACAGCAGGGTAGCTAGAGAATCTCATCTCAACGCAGAGCAAGCTTGTGTCAGTGCCTGTTAACCACCTCTCAGTGGGGCCATTCCACTTTTAAAATAAAGACAACAACAACCAAACAACCACACGGCAACAACAAACACTCTTTCCACCATGTGTTAACACTCCAGTACTGCATACAGCAGTGTTAAAAAAGCATAGTCACAAAAGCAATACACATCAGAAAGAATGCTGAGAAGGTAAAATAAGTAGTAAATTTACAAGAATGTACACGAGTTACACTCTAAAAACTGAAACTATAATTATTTACACTATGTACAAATCTTCAAGAAGCAGGGTTGCCACAACCGACTAGATGTTTGTCACCGAGGTGGGGCAGCCATAACCAAACGTTGAGCTCTCTTGTGTATATTAATCACCAAGATCGCCGAGACGCAGCCGGGGCACAATGTTCATTGACTGCAGCTCCTGGAAGAGAAGCTTGCACGCATACGGCATCTGAAGGCTGGCGATTTCGCTGGACGACTGACAAAAGTGACACCTTGAAAACGACAAGAACAGGAACAGTATTTGATCGCAAATGCACCGGGAGGGTGCGGGTAAAGAGCCACAACATACTACACACTAACACTGCGACGAGTTCATGCTTCGACACGCAATAACGTTACATTGCCAGTTCACCAACTTGAGCAGCAACTTGTGCCAAGGTGCACACAAACATAAGGACTGGAATTGCTGCGACATGTACTAGCAACTGGGGCGCTTGATTGGCCAACACTTCATGCCTAATACCTTCATGTACATGCATGATACTTCTTTGTACGTCCGCAGCAGTTTTTACTGTGCATGATTTTGCCAGAATCCCTAGTGCATGTGATCACAATTGCTTGGCACCCTCATCTCGATTCCGCAATGCAGATCGACTGCATCCCATGCCGATTCCATCGATGACTGAACAAACGCAACCTGAAGCGGGGTCTCGATCGGGCATAGTACTGGACTGGACTGACAACAGTTCGAGGAAACATGCCTACAGCTGTAAACGATTAATACACAGGAACGTGCCTCTCATGATACCCTCTTTTGCAACTCAATCTTTGAGAAACCCTTTCACAGAATGTTGAGAGAGAGAGAGAGAGAGAGAGAGAGAGAGAGAGAGAGAGAGAGAGAGAGAGAGAGAGACGGACAGACACTGTCAAACAGTAAAGCATAGCTATGCTTTCTTTCTTACCATCCCATATAGCCCAGGAGGCCACACTTGCCACATACATCGACCTCGAAGGCATCACTAGATATCATAAGTCTCTCCAGTAAAAGCATGCTGAGCAACAGACACAAGAACACACATTAGACGTACAAGGATTATTCAAGAACTTTGAAGCTGCATTGTAGCCATGTCATTATTGCAGATGAGGCCCAGTCATGGATGAAGCCTTGCAAGATCTCTATTGGATTGGGATAGCCAAGGACTGGAGAAGGCTGTGTGGTGAATGGCTCTGCAACAATGCACAAGGATTATTCTCCGCTCCACGCTAAATGACGTCTTTGGACAATGATGATGAGTGCACGTACATTTAGATTTCAGAAGAACGTCTATAGACGTCCGGTTACGTCCGGTTATACATTACACTACACCAAGTGTACAGGTAGGCGTGTTTCTTGTTGGCCGCGAGCCCCATTGACTTTTTTACTAAGTTTTTAGAGACATGCCACAAGAGCAGACATGCTATGCAGCACTTTTGCTCACAATTCCTACTTTATCACAAACTGACCGCCCTGTTTTCTTCTCTTCATAAAGCAACACCAGTAAACACCAGTAAACACCAGTACAAGTGTAAAATAATGATACAAATTTAAAACCTATACCAGTGCAACACAAACCCTACCTGGCGCCATAGCCGATCAGGCAGTCACGTTCCATTTCTCCGAGACGCAGACCTCCCTCGCTGCGCACAGAAAACACACACACAATATGTACATGTGAAGGGCTTCATTGCAAAACGAGATAAATCCATTTTGACCAATTTTCAGGAGGAGCGATTTTCTGTGATCAACAACTGGGTGGGTTTGGGTCAAATCTAACTTAGCAGATGAGAAGAGTAGGGTGATGTATGCAAATACAGGCTTTCTCAAAAATCAGGGGGCATCCACTTTCTCAAGCAAGGTGATTCTTCATTATTTTCGGGCAAAACCAGACCAGTTCGCCCGACTAATCAGTATTATGAGATTAGAAAATACAAGTGCAACGACTTCACTGAGTTCGGAACTCTGAAGGAGCTCAGCAGCAACAGCACTGCCAGCAGCAGCGTCGTCCCTCCCTGACGCCTCTAGCATACTGCCCTTTTCAGTTTCGAAAGCGAAAAACAACAGCTACGAAGAAGACGATACAAAAAGAACGAAATGACAACGTAGATGTAGCTGCTACAAAGCAACAACACGAAAACACTGTACTTTGAACTCTGACATCGACATTTTGCACAGACTCAGTTTGTAGTCGCGATGTTTGCCACGTGCTGCGCCAGCACTCGCTGGCTTGTCACAGGTCACGCTGGCCCGCGCGACAGGATATGTCGCACTTTGCTCGAAAACATCGGTGGTGTTTATCGCGTTTTGCAGTAGAACGTCAACTTCAACGTTGATTTTCAGTGGGATATGTCTCGTTTTGGAGAATTCTTTTTGGCCACCAGATGCAGTGATCCCTACTGATTCGATTGACACCGAACGCCATATGCATGAGATTGGCGTTTAGCGCGTTTCGCAATGAAGCCATTCATGTACTTATCATGCAAGCAGGGATACACAAGACACGACGGACCTGCCACCCAGTGATGAGAGTAGACAATACTACTTGGTCCACCCAGCTACAATTGGCGCTTATCTTCACACTTGTCTCAGGAAGGAAATACGAATATTAGAAGCAAGCCACGATCACAAAGCACTATGTACATGATTATTTTTTTTAAAGATCGGAGCTAGTTAGCAAGTGCAGGCATGAAAATAAGTACTACCTCTCAAAATTCTCACCATCAGCCGTCACATAACCTTCTCACCACTCGCAGTCGCAGGTGATGTGCTGCTCATAATTACCGAATTGTCCTTCTTCTTGCCTCCCTCAGAAGAACATGTGGTCGCATGAGCCTAGGCCTAAAGTGTATTCTTTTTTTTTTGCGCCTATTTTTGCACCCCATCAACCAACTCACGCATTTTTACAATTACACCATCAGCCCGGATCATCCATTCGCGCTATGATCCAAGCTTGCAGCCTATATCAATCTTATCTTCTGAAAATTGTAGTCAAGTTGCTGTCTGATGATCGGTTAAAACCGTGAAACTCAGAGTTACAGAAGAAACGCTTTTCGTCCCTCTCAAGTGTGTGTACATGATTATTTACATGTCAGTAAGCAACTCAGTCAAAAATTCAAGCAAGTTCCACATCCTCCTCGCCACTGTCGTCGCTGGAGGAAGAGCTCAAAACGTTCGATCCGGACAGCTGCTGCACGTTTCATAGCTTGTTCCACTTCTCCTCGTCTCGAATCACGCTCAAAGGCAGTGCATGCCTGTCACCTTGCCGATGAGAAGCTGAGTGAGACTGCCCGCATGTTGACTGTAAGTGTTATCCCCGTTCGTCGCAATAATGCGACTTTGTTTTAGACAAAAAGGCAACGCCATATCAGTGTCCTTTTTTTCAAATCGCCTCTTGCGCTTGTCGTACTTGCTGATCAGCACCCACGCGAGCCGCTGGTGGTGCTTGTAGATCTACATGCAGCGCATGTGATAGCTTCTGCTTGATGTAACACCTGTGCGTACTGCACCTAAGTCCTAACGCCGTGCACCAGGCTTTTCGGCTAGTTTCTTGAAAGTCCTTTGCACGAGTGTTTCCCTCACTCAGGACTTCGTGTCTATTTTGATTAGCTCCTTTGCCCTGTCCTCTGTGAGCTTCAAAGTGTGTCCGCCGGATTGGTCTCACTTTCTGGAGATGTCGACATGAGCTGCAGTTTCTTCGTCAGCGATTTGCTGGTGATAGCCCTTCACTAGGCGCTGTACTGAGCGCTTTTTTCAGCTTTTCTATACCTCCCCGGGGTACACAATCCTTGCCACCAGACAGCTGGAAGTAGACAGAAACTGTATTCTCCATTGCTCTGAAATGCGAACACCCTGACCTATTTTACGGACTCGAGCGGAGGTTGCAGTGTTTTCTTGCGCTGACGGAAGTGTTCGTCGGCGGCAGCTCCGTCAAAAAGACTCAAACGAACCGATCGCAACTTCTGTGATGGTTTGTGCTGCCATGTCGTCGGATGTAATGGTCAATGGTTATGTTCGGATGGTGAATCGGTGGTTCCATGCCGTGTGACATAGGCAGAACACCGAAAACCAGGTGAGAAGATAAGCGCCAATTTTACCTTGGCGGACCAAGTACTAGACATTATCAGCAGCTTCAGAGAAATAAGACCGGTTTCCAGCTATCAACTTATGGTTAAAAGGTTTTTATTAACTAGCACTAAGGTTACAACTTTCCCTCAAACTTATGAATAAGGTAATTTCACGATGAACACTAGACAATTCGATATGGCACAAAGCCGCCGAGCTTGAAAATGCGATCGCTTCATGACTTCAGACAAGGCCGCCGCCCTACAAGGTCAGGCAGAGGTGCACTCGCACCACACTGCTCACACAGCTAGCAAGTACAAAGAACCTTAGCAGAGCAATTCACAGGATAATCTGCCCCAACTGCAGCAGCAAAGGCAGCAGCTGCAGCGGTGGTGGCAGCAGCAGTGGCTGGCGGAAGAGCATAGGAGTTTGAAGAAGAATACCAGGAACAACTCTAAAATGACCTGAAATCCTACATAATATTCAAAGTACTCACCGTGAACGTCCCTCAGTTGGCTGTCTGGTCAACACAGCTCTTGGGCCCTGCAATAGAGCAACGCAGCATGGGAAATACAACCTTTGCAAGGGGCCATACATAAAACGGCGCGGCTTGTAGCAGGCATAAAAGAGTACGATTGGGTGAGGATGGGTCCGACCATTTGAAATAGTTTTTTTGTACATACTGTACAAGCAGAAATATTCGTCGGGAATTTAATTTCGTCTTTTTCGTCCAAAGACTTTTCGGCCTAAAAATTGAATGCAGGACTAAATGTCAATTAGTCTAGCCTCCCCACTACGTTTCAACATCAATGGGCGAAAATTTCCACCAGACAAACTGTCTTTCTTCGGAGTTGGACAGAACTGTTCACAGACTAAATGTTCTGCTTACACAGTACTTAGCTTTGATTCTATTTCCCTCTTGATCGGACCTGATTGTTTTGACTTGGTTAACTCTTGTTCTGCTATGTGTTCACATCCCTCAAGACAAGTACCTCACCCCGCTCATGCTGTAGTGCATCACACTAGTAACCACAATACCCCCTTTTTTGGGAGGGGGCAGGGCGCCCCTGCCCTAGAAACCGTGTGTTGCCTTTCTAATCATAACGGTACACATGACTTTGATCATAAGCTCAATACATGTATGCACAACCACGCGCACGCGCGTGCACCTACCCACATATGCATGTCCACACAAGCACACATGCACACACACACGCCCACGCGCGCTCCACCAGGCACCAAGCACAAAAAGGCTACTTACTTTTGCTCTGGCATGCATTTTATCAAGCACCATGTGCTTGAGTTTCTGATAGTAGATTGGGCCAAAGAAAATGTACGCTGTCAACGGTTCACTGGGGAGAGACCACAAGAACGAAAGAGGAGCACAAAAGACTTACTAGTATAGCATCACAAGCAGTGAATCTAAACAGATGATTGAAATTAGAAATAGAATCACCAGAAGTTACTAGTTACCGACGTCATTTAACCTCGAAGTTTTAGCAACTCACCCAGTCAAGCCTGACGTAACAAAGTCCTTTCCGCCGTAATTGAAGCCATTGTCTGTCAACACCTTGGCCAAGTCGACCACCTTGTCACCACCGAATGCTGAAATGCAATAATAGGTGAGAAAAATCAGTGAGAAAGATCAAGAGCAAAAATCAAGAATACTGGGAGAGAGAGAGAGAGAGAGAGAGAGAGAGAGAGAGAGAGAGAGAGAGAGAGAGAGAGAGAGAGAGAGAGAGAGAGAGAGAGAGAGAGAGAGAGAGAGAGAGAGAGAGAGAGAGAGAGGAGAGAGAGAGATTGCACTGACAAGGTGGCTGTAGCCCTCGCTACAATCATTTTCCCTCCTTGTTGCCATATCTCACTTACCAGTGCCATAGTGGAACGACCCTTCCAACACACCAGCCTTCCCGCCAAGCAACTCAATGAGCTTTCCCACTGTCATACGTGATGGGTATCCATGAGGATTCATGATCTGTCGCAAACAGCAGCGGGAATAATACAGAAAGCACACATGTCATGAGGCAGGTATCACAAAGGAATCACTTCTACACAATATGTCATGGGGCAGGTATCACACAGGAATCACTTCTACACAATATGTCATGGGGCAGGTATCACACAGGAATCACTTCTGCAAGGCATGCCTACACAATGAGCACATGCACAAGAAATCCTCTGCACTAAGTGTGTACACTGTACATGGTTCCCATGCCTGGTGACGAGCCCAGCACCACACTAGAGTTCACACACCAATCAGGGTCCATTTATACTAGTGTCTAACTATTTACTATCATTCTAGTACATACTAGGGTTATCTCATAATTTCGCGAACAAAACAAAACAAAATCAAAGTAAACCATTTCGTGCAGTGTGCATTAAATCTTGAACTCAAGATGGCGAGGGGTGATTTTCTTAGAGCAAGACCCAATACTCAACTTGGCATATGTGCAGCACTACTACACACACATGCCGTGTGCACTACTACTTACCACATCAGGACATATGCCCTTCACGTGTCAACAGCACATAGCGCAACAGAGCATAGGTACACAGAAAAGACATCAGAGGAAAGAGAGTTGATCATACAGGCAAACTGTCAGTTTGTATTTCTTAAGCCTGGTTCACACTAGGCCGATTTTCCGGCCGGTGCTCCGACACCGACTCCGACATGGAGTCTGCCGACTGTGTCGACTGAGTCGGACGGCCTGTTCACACACGGGGAACGACTCACTCGCAATAGAGTCGCATCGATTATCCATAAAAGCAAGAGTTCATGGGGGTTATGAAATTTTGGTAGGACTTTACATTTCATCAAGAGTACAAAAGTACAAAAGTACAAGAGGTCATGAGCTCGACATCGACGCTCTTTGCTGTCATGGTGAAAAGCCTACCGTGATTGGTCCGAATCCCGTTCCATCACGTGCAAGCAGTAAAAATCGGCCGGCTTTTCGGCTAAATATCGACCAGTCGATACTTGGCCGAAAACTAGTGCGACAAGAAAATCGCCGCAGATTTGTCGGAACCCTGTACGACAACACAGTTCACACTACGCAATTTTCGCCCCGATCTTGAGGATTTTTCGTACGAGTCCATGTCGGCCGGAAAATCGGCCTAGTGTGAACCAGGCTTTACACCAAAACAGCAGAGAACAGCTTAATCTCTATATAGCGACTCCCGCTTGTACGTCCAAGTAAACCTCGCCATAACATAGGAATTAGAAGTCCCCAAACGACAAAGCACCTATAGTAATGCCATTGTTTGTTCTATAGATAGAGTGTGTGATGTTTGGGGTGTGTTGACAGCCACTTGGCAGACTTTTGATATACATATTGCACTTTACATACATGTACATGATTTCTCTACAACATAATTCGCTAGATAATATAATTTTGCATGGGACCAGGGCTAGAATATGTACGTAGAGAGTTGACCCGTATACCAATAGCACTTCAACAAACTAACACAAGCTCAAAAGGTAAAGTGGAGGTTAAGAAACTGGATATGGTTCATAGAGAGCGGGGAAGATATCTCTCCGATACTCACCAAGTCAGAGAATGGCATGTCTTCCTGCGGTACGATCAGCCCACAAACTCTACACGCAGACACACAAGCACATGCACTCATGGTTAGACTAACTGCAACTCCAACAAACTTAGACATACAAACATACAATGGAAACAAAATGCAGGGTCATCTACCGATTTCAGCACGAACAATATACCAGTTTCAAGTGCAAAACATGAGCAGTACATACACTAGAAACTGGTGGCAAAGACCAATACACTAGCTAGAAAGTACATGTGTGGACATGTACAAACAAGGAGCACACCAACTAACTCAAACGCAACAAAGAAAAAATTGCACCATGCAAGATACACAATTATCTAGACGTTATGGCAGCCAGATGTTACTGAGATGCATGCAAGCCCTGAGATCGACCACTCACCCCTTCTGTCCGTGACGACTACTGAACTTGTCGCCGATCTCAGGACGTCGAGTGTTGCGCAGGAGCAGCTTGATCAGGTATGCCTGCCACCATGGACAAACAAACAAACACACCGGATAGTACACATTCTAACCATGCAGTTCCTTGTTGTACATGATTGTATTCGAAAGTCACACAACACAGGATATAAAGTCACACAGAGTGCTGCTCAGCAACACAATAAATTGACTTTACGACTATACATAATATAAACAAAAACGGATTAGAGGGATACAGTCTGGAAGGATATACCAAGGCAAATGTGCAATGTTAGAAATGACCACAACACACAGCAAATATGAATAATCACGGCTGACCTCATCAGGGTTAGACGAGATCAAGACCTTCTCAATGTACGGCGAAACGGGACCCTTCCACCTGTGCAGCAAACAGATGGGGGAACACACAAGATGATACTTCGACACACTACTGATGTGCAGCACTCATACAAACACGCCTAAGCACCCCCCCACTCACATACACACGTACTCACGTACACAAACACACACACACACACACACACACACACACACACACACACACTTGTACTTGTACTTGTTGCTCACTGCCAAAACTGGTCACGTGGGTCTCCCCGGGAGAGGGGAGAGAGACTCAAAAGGAATCTTGGAAAGATGACTCAATTGGCTATTGAACCACCCAACGGCCGACACCCCCTGAAATCCCCAAAACTCTGGGTGGACTTGAAAATGATCCCACTTATGGGCTCACCACACCTCAGTAAGTGGGTGAGGACAAGGTGCAGAAAAAGGATTGACGGCATCAGGGTATCCGTCCTGGGATCCAACTGCAGTTACCCCTGCCCCCAGTGAAGGTAATACGTGCTACTAGTGTGGGTGACTAAATCAGAGTGGATCTGATATTAGCTTCACTAGCACCATTGATTACACAAGAGTTAATCTAGCCAGAAGCAGTCCATGGTTAACAGGTATGTATACTTCAAATAGAAAGTATATGAACCCTGGAACCAACAAAGGTGGCAGGTACAACATTACACCTTCAAGTAGCCGAGACCGTTGGCAACAGACCCAACACAATCAGGCGTAAGTGTACCCACCAACCGAACTAGCTGGCACACACTCACACACACACACATACACAAACATGCCCTCTCACAATACATGCTACATATGCATGTAAACATGGGCAGTACAATGCTAGTACATGTAGTAGTAGTAGCTGAAACCCGGACTTACGTCATGGGTGCCTCCTTGTACTGGACTGGCTGTGGTGCTTGCTGAGGTCCAGGTGGAGCTAGTGGAGAGAGTAAGCAATGCAGAGAAGCAGGTAAATATCTAGGTTAGATGAATCCAAGTAAAAAAAACCGTAACTTACGCTCTCTCCATACAAACTTACACATGAGTTTGGCGGGGGAAATATCAATGACCCTACCCTTCACACACAATTCTGTCTGGCTGTCTACCTGCAAAAGCAGATAGCTGGACCACACAACTGGAGCAAGACTAGACTGATTGATAATGATAGAATTACACATTTTGACGATTATCTTCTTCAGAAGTACCTGCCTGTCTGTCTGTCTGTCTATCTGAATGTACGTGTATGCCTGCCCCTGCCCCTCCCCCCCCCCCCCCCCTCCCTCCCTCTACCCGCCTGCCTTTCCCCGTCTCTGTCTCTCTTGCAGCTATGTGCATGTGACTCACTGGCCAGTGATGGGTTGGTGACGGTGGGTATGGACTTGTTCACCATTACTTGACGATTGCCAACTTGCTCACCTGGGTGCAGAAAGAAAGATACAGTCAACACATGAAAACATTGTGATCAACGCAAGTCATAACACTTTTCCACAATCAATAGGCTAGTCACACAAATACACACAGTGGCCAAGTCGAAGGGATGCATTCAGCGACAAGCAAATCGCAACAGATCCGAGTGAGTGACAGTGAACAGGGAAGCCGCAAGGAAGGGCCAACAAGATGATGTGCACCAGTAGCAGACGAGCGCAAGGCACAGGTCAAACGCAGAACAACATCTACACTGTGACTCCGAGAGCCACCAGAAACAAGCTGTTTCAAATTGTCCGCACTCGCAACCAGGCTACAATGCTATGTCAGCAACACACTTCAGTACAGTGTGCACAGAATAGTGCCAAGTAGTAGCCTTCCATTGCTCAGCGCAGCACCACTCTTTGCTCAGTGAAAACGTGATAACGTCACATGTCATTGGAAGAAATCGCTGCGCTATCGCGTGCAAGTGGTGACACCAGGGAATCCAAATCAGCACTGAAAGTGCGTCGTTTCCAGTAAGCCAGCACTTCCACATACTAGTAATCATCCAGTGAAAGCAGTGACTGGCGGGCGTTCCACGCTAAACTCACAACAAATAAGTAGAATCACCGCTTGGCACATGAGTGTATCACACCATGGACAGGGAGGCGGATGGCATATCAAGATAAGAGTGCATGAAGGTAGATCATGCAAACTGGGCAGAGCACCGCAGAAGATGGCCCAGGCTTACCAGGAGAAATGATGCCATCTCGATCAAGACAAGCGTGTTTGTAAATTGGCTCACGAGTTTGTTCATCCAGCGATGGTCCTGAAAGCAAGCATATGATTGTATGAATACACACACAATACAATAAAATACAATAATGCCCGTCCGCAAAATGCACACATGCACGCAAAGAGTAGCTGAGGAAACATAACGCTAGCTGATTTATCGTTTGGGTCAACATTTTAAAGGTTCATAGGCAAAGTGTGCGCACCTTTCCCCAGAACGAGGGCAGATTGTGCCGTGCCCGTTGGCAAGAAAAACCTACACAGTGTGTATCCCGTACTGTGCTGAATAGCGCTGAGCAGATGCTGAGCAGATGCTGAGCAGCTGCTGAGCAGCTGCTGAGCAGCTTGCAAAACATCAAACTTGCATGCCAGTACTATCCTATGAGTGCACTGCCATAAGACAATAATGCGTTTTTGCTAAAAGGCGTCGAATACATGCCACATTTGCAGTGTAGTGCGCGTTCGAGATCTCGAGTTGCACGTAGTCTCTCCAGAGTGCGCACTCCAATCTCAACTGATACTGTGCAGAATAGCTGCTTTGGCGAATATACTCATACTTGTCTTGAACGCAGAACCGCTTACCCATGATGCGGTCGAAGCTCTGATGATTCCATCCGAGTCCCAGCAGTCCACATAAAGACAAACAACACACAAGCACACATACAAACACCAATGTAAGCGTTTCAAGGCTTCTACACCACATGTGTCCAGGTCGAAGAGTCAGTGTATGAGTCATCACTAGTGAAACAGCAATGGTTCAACACTGATAGCTACAGGTAAACCAGAAGGCCGGAATGCACAGCTGAATGGGGGGGGAGTCAAGTCATGACTACTGTTTACCTAGATCTACCACACCAGCAGGGATATGCAACAATGCTATTCTCCTGGAAAGACAGCCGGCAGTTGGGGGATATGCAACAATGCTATTCTCCTGGAAAGACAGCCGGCAGTTGGGCTACAACCAGAGACGGAGTGACCCACTGACACTGTAAGAGGCACAACAGGGTAGCCACAATGGAGTAGCCACAACGGAGTCAGAAAACAAACAAAAAACAAAATGTGCACGCACGGACACGAGCGCACACATGCGCGCACGCACGCACACACACACACACACACACACACAAACGTGCACGCACACATCAGTTTTGAGTTAACATACCTGATTGGCATAACGCTTCAGGGTGCAGGTCTGCTTCCGATATACAATGCAGCGACCAAAACCTAAACATGGCAACAAACAATACAGGCCACACAGACGTCAGGTGTTAGTGAAAGGGAAAATTGTGCAACAAAGGTAACATAATAATGGCAGTGTGTGTGCGTGCGCGTATATGAGAGAGAGAGAGAGAGAGAGAGAGAGAGAGAGAGAGAGAAACTCAAGGTGGTACCCAGTACCAGTACACACCAAGTCTCGAGGAGACAAATCGCTCACAATGTATTCTGACTACAACTTACCGCGATCCACGGACGCTTTGTTGAGAATGAGCGCATCCTAATAAGGAAGGCAACAAAAACATGTTCTCTCTGTCAGTACATGTACAAGTAATGTACATCTCATGCATATCTGGGGTGCACCCTTGAAAAGATACTACTGAGCTATAAATGATAGTATCTCCCAATTCCCATCTACAATAAAAAATAATACCAATAAACTTGTACACATGTACATGACTACATGCACGCCAGGGAGTGGCAGTATCTAGATATCAGCTCTAGGGAAATGATACAGACGAGTGGACCATGTAACAATGTGAGTTTTGCGCCAGGGCTGCCCATTCCAGTTGCACATGGTGGACGGACGGGTAGTGCATGCTGACATAAGGCCTTGTCGGTCTGGATCAGGCTTGGGGCCAGCTGGTCACTGCTACGGTTGCAGTCGTGTTTTCGTGTTTTGAATACAAAGTAAACGCACAGATCATGATGTATCCTGTAGAGTTTCCACTCCGGGGTCGAAAAGCACATAGCTTCGGATACTATGGTCTCAGGCTGTCTCCCTAGATGCTACAACTCCCCGATGCACACATACATAATTATACAAGCATGCAACGTGTATCAGTAGCAGGAGAAACTTGTTCCCGTTACTCCAGAGAGAAGACAGGCTGGCAGCTCACCTCAATGTCATAGCCACTGTAACTCATAACTGCCACTGTAGCATTCTGACCTGCAAGCAAGAAACCATAGAACACACACACACACACACGCACACACACACACACACACACACACACACACACACACACACACACACACACACACACACGCACACACATATACATACGCACACGCACACACACATACACACACACACGCACGCACGCACACACGTACACCACAATTTTTCACGGCTCAACTACAAAATTAACCCAAGCACTGATTTCACCAGTTTTCTGAAAATATTAGTAACTATGGAGGACTCTGAGCGATCTAATAATTCATATCCTAATAGTAGCACTGCCCTAAACCTTTCATTGACACCACAGAGCAGAGCCTGCCACCATCATCGGGAAGGCAAGTCCTACAACAATTCAACTTGATGATCATAGGTTCCTGTGCTCTTTCATCTGGATTGTGACACCAGCACACTTGAAGCAATTTAATTAATTGGACTAGAATACCAAATTGTCCAATTATCCCAACGGCAGCTATACAACTGATTGCTGGCTATCAAGATTACTACCGTGCATCAGCAGCTGGGCATAACAGTTACGCATGTGCAAAAGATACATCTTGGCAAGGATACATTCCCCAGTACACATGCAATCATGTTCAAAGCATGACACATGTCATCAACTCACCTGCCGGGAGGTCATTAAAGTGAATCAGATCAAGTGTCTGTGCACACAATAACAAAACACACACACACACACACACACACACACACACACAGAGTAAAGTTAGAGGCCATCCATAAGGTTGTGGGAAGCGGGGGGGGGGGGGGGGGGGGAAGAGCTGTTCAACATGATAGCACAGCCGTGACAGTGCTCACAGGGGAGAGAGAGGCTCTGGAAGACAAGCAAGATCTTATAACTGTGTAACCACGACTCCGATCCAACATGATGTTCAGATCATTTAATGATGCGCAGTCAGTAGATATAGTGTTAGCCAGCGCTGAGTCTTGCCCAACATCGACGGTCCCTCTCACACCACACCACACTATCACAACTGTGAAGATCTACAGTGGCTATGAGGCGATGGGGGTGGTGGTGGTGGTGGTGGTGGTGGTACGTACCCGGGACTTGACCAGTGGCGCTTGTGGATACACTAGCACGTACATCAGTGTGTCAATTCTGCGAGAAGAAGAACAAGCCAGTCACACAGGAACACAGGCATACAGGCATGCAGACAACACACAGCCAGCATGAGAGTGATCCACGACATTGCCAGCACTGCTGTAAGTGCATTTCAGAACACATAACCAAAATAGAGTAGAGGTGAAAGTTGGCGTTGAGATACCGAGTTCGAGTACTCTGATTTTCTCCGATCGAATACTCGAGTATCCGAGTATTCTTCATCTCCTAAAAATTCCACACCAAGGGCCTTAAAATCACATGATACGACCCCGATTGAACAGTGTGGCAGTCATTTTTCTCAGGTATATTGATTGGTGGTTCATTTGGGCTTTCTCTACTCATGTACAAATGTTCACCACACAGTCTGCACATCAATATCTACTGACTGCTGCTCTGAAACTGCAGATTTCTATGGTAAACGCGTGTACCATGTATGAACAAGTAATCTGGTTTATTCCGAGTACGATTATTTTTGAAAAAACCAAGCGAGAACTCGAATATTCGGTGTAATTATTGTTTCACCCTTAAAATATAGTACAGTCAACTTCGCTAATAACGACTGCGGATATAACGACAATTCGCGAATAATGACAAAATGTCCATGCCCAGAGCAAGTCACATCCAACTGTAATACATATAATGAGACTTCGGGTATAAGGACACTTCACGAATAAGGACACTTTTCTGATGCCCCGCCGAGTGTCGTTATATGCAAAGTTGACTGTATGGCGAAAAAAAGATATTCACAATGACCTTTCCATTGACCAATATTACGGAGGTCAAGTACCATGAATTTCACATTCAACGTCGTGTATATTTTTTCCATTTGCAAACTGGAATGTGAGATTTCAGTCCGGAAAAAAAACGAGTTGCAATTTCGTGTCAGAACAGTCGTATTTTACTACAGTGCACATACTAGGGCCAATTCAAAAAATCACACTGGAAAAAACTCGTCTTGCCACATATCGGCTATTACCGTATTTCCCCGATTGTACGTCGCACCTTTTTACACTAAATTTCAAGGGCAAAGAAGGGGGTGCGACTTACAATCGAGTGTGACTTCTTACTTATGTGAATGCATTTAGACGATTTGGTTTGGACGTGAGAATGGGCTGCGACTTATAATCAAGTGCGACTTATAATCGGGGAAATACGGTACACAGAATTTTTTGGTGCACCCAGTAGACCGTGTCAGCTACAGCCTATCTTCCAAATATGAGTAGTCCTAATACGTCCAAAGGTGCTGAAATCACCCACGGCATACTGATCAAAATTGTCGCTGAACGAAATTCTCAACAGTCGCACTCACGGACTTTCAAGACTTTTTCGGTACAAAAGTTCCTGTACCAGGGAGCGTTTTCCCTTTTCGGTCCCCCGCACCGTAGAAACATTGTATACTTGTACGCTCTGCGTGCAGGCACACTCCACCATATGCACAAACTACATTTTCGTCTTGTTTGACTCTCAAAATCTATTTCTTTAGGCTGTGTTTACATGAGGCGTTTCAACTTTCAACCTGTTCAAATTCTGTTTGGCCACATTTTCGCACGCTGGCTCCGCTTGAGTACGCTGCCTTCCGAGCACCGCCGTTTTCGGAGCGTTCTATTTGTGCGTTTCACTTCTCTCTCTCTCCGGGGTTTGGAGCTACCTTCTTCCTCAGACATGATACCAGGTAACGTTATTTGGGTCGTCGTTATCGAATTCAAGACGACTTTGACAGGTGATGGATGGAGGCGAGTTAGACTGTGACAGCGATCCGGAGTACAGTGCTACTCCCCGCAGAAGGCGAAGGTGACGTCCAATACAGACGAATTTGGCCAAGCTCACCCTTGCTCGTATATCAGAATCTGATGTATGTTCTGTAGGAAACATATTTCTATGACAGAGATGAATGCTTAATGAGTCCAACTGGAGGTAAGAAAACCCATGAGTTTATGACAGAGTACATGTGATCAGTTCATGCAGCATTTGTTTACCATGTATACTGTAATAAGGTTGCAGACTGCTTCATCAGAAGTAGTCGGGGCAGGGAATCTCCTGACCCTGCCACTCCTCGAACACGGGGAACCCGCCTGGGGGCAAAGTCGTTCGACCCTGCTAATTGCGTTATCTGCGGCCAGCATTGCAAGCAAGGGTTCGACCAAACCGGTAAAAAAAATACTCTGATAATTCTTTACCAAAAAGATGAAACCGGTCAGTAACAAAGAGAAAATGACCTCGTGTGATTTATGCTTGTGTCGGGGGTTCTCAAATTGCAATACGCAGGCACGAGCTGCCTGTCGCCTCCAAGGCAACCTCTACAGCCACCCTATCAGATGCTGCAAACGTCCGAGGCAGTGGGGCAGTTTCTATCCGTCTTTTAGTGGATGGCGAGGTGCACTATCATCGCAGCTGCTGCCAGCGCTTCACTAACTTGAGAGACTTGAAGAAGCTTCGTGAAGAAACACACCAGGACAGTGCGGTATCAGCATGCTATGAGCAGCTGGTGGAGGAACTGGAGGGGCCACTTGTCAGGGGCGACGTAATCTATACCATGTGGCGTGTCTGCAAGCAGTATAAGCGGCTATTAACTACTGCTGGACTTCCAGGTAAGGTCATGTTGCTACAGTGACTCAATTCCGGTGACTGCATCAGTGCTGTGCGACACGACTGTCATCACCCCGTCACCCACATGTAAGTATCTTGGGCTACACATGATCAGCACCAGATCTTCCGACCCCATATCTCCCACCTCCGTGATGACATTAATAAGAAGCTAGGTGCTTTTAGGCGAAGCAGAGACAACCTGGACAGTAAGGCTAGCCGAGCTATCTATCTCGGAGTTATACAGAGCAAATTAGAGTACGCCAGCACATCATACATGTATGTTCATTCATTACACGCTGCAGAATACGATAAGCTTCTAGGACTGAGTCGCCGAGCCGTTTGTATTGTATTTGCCTATCCTTCCTGTGCTGATGTTGAGCCCATTTTGCGTTGTCATAACCTCCAGCCACTCAGCCTACGCCTCACTCTTAAGCTATATATTTTATTTTTCAGTGCATCAGGTCCCTTGGCAGTCCCCTCATCTCCCAAATCTTCACGACTCGAAATGCTGCTACCCACACTACCTCCCAAATAGAGGCCAAACATTCAGTAGTCTCTTTCTCCCCCCATTCATGTCTCGGCCAGGTCTCTACAGTCTCTCATTTCTTGGTGCTGACCGCTTTAATGCACTACCCGCTTTCATACGATCCCAGGGTACCTTGCCTGCTTTTCGCGCTAGCTGCTTACAATTTCTCCTTGGGCACCCAGTAAGAAGGCCATAGGCCTGTTGGGTATACCCAAGTAAAATAATAAAATTAATACTACTACTACTACTATGCTTAGCATGATTTCAGTGCTGTGTTGTGACTATGTCCCTTATATCATGCTTCACATTTGAATGTATGGGGTTGTTTTCCTCCCTATTATTGTGTACTACAATGTTACAGTGTTCAGTGTGCTATGTGTCAGCAGTAGACACTCAAGTGTGCTATGTGTCAGCAGTAGACACTCAAGTGTGCTATGTCTCAGCAGTAGACACTCAAGTGTGCTATGGCTCAGCAGTAGACACTCAAGTGTGCTATGTCTCAGCAGTAGACACTCAAGTGTGCTATGTCTCAGCAGTAGACACTCAAGTGTGCTATGGCTCAGCAGTAGACACTCAAGTGTGCTATGGCTCAGCAGTAGACACTCAAGTGTGCTATGGCTCAGCAGTAGACACTCAAGTGTGCTATGTCTCAGCAGTAGACACTCAAGTGTGCTATGTCTCAGCAGTAGACACTCAAGTGTGCTATGGCTCAGCAGTAGACACTCAAGTGTGCTATGGCTCAGCAGTAGACACTCAAGTGTGCTATGGCTCAGCAGTAGACACTCAAGTGTGCTATGTCTCAGCAGTAGACACTCAAGTGTGCTATGGCTCAGCAGTAGACACTCAAGTGTGCTATGGCTCAGCAGTAGACACTCAAGTGTGCTATGGCTCAGCAGTAGACACTCGAGTGTGCTATGGCTCAGCAGTAGACACTCAAGTGTGCTATGGCTCAGCAGTAGACACTCGAGTGTGCTATGGCTCAGCAGTAGACACTCAAGTGTGCTATGGCTCAGCAGTAGACACTCAAGTGTGCTATGGCTCAGCAGTAGACACTCAAGTGTGCTATGTCTCAGCAGTAGACACTCAAGTGTGCTATGTCTCAGCAGTAGACACTCAAGTGTGCTATGGCTCAGCAGTAGACACTCAAGTGTGCTATGGCTCAGCAGTAGACACTCAAGTGTGCTATGGCTCAGCAGTAGACACTCAAGTGTGCTATGTCTCAGCAGTAGACACTCAAGTGTGCTATGTCTCAGCAGTAGACACTCAAGTGTGCTATGGCTCAGCAGTAGACACTCAAGTGTGCTATGGCTCAGCAGTAGACACTCAAGTGTGCTATGGCTCAGCAGTAGACACTCAAGTGTGCTATGTCTCAGCAGTAGACACTCAAGTGTGCTATGGCTCAGCAGTAGACACTCAAGTGTGCTATGGCTCAGCAGTAGACACTCAAGTGTGCTATGGCTCAGCAGTAGACACTCGAGTGTGCTATGGCTCAGCAGTAGACACTCAAGTGTGCTATGGCTCAGCAGTAGACACTCGAGTGTGCTATGGCTCAGCAGTAGACACTCAAGTGTGCTATGGCTCAGCAGTAGACACTCAAGTGTGCTATGGCTCAGCAGTAGACACTCAAGTGTGCTATGTCTCAGCAGTAGACACTCAAGTGTGCTATGGCTCAGCAGTAGACACTCAAGTGTGCTATGGCTCAGCAGTAGACACTCAAGTGTGCTATGGCTCAGCAGTAGACACTCAAGTGTGCTATGGCTCAGCAGTAGACACTCAAGTGTGCTATGGCTCAGCAGTAGACACTCAAGTGTGCTATGGCTCAGCAGTAGACACTCAAGTGTGCTATGGCTCAGCAGTAGACACTCAAGTGTGCTATGGCTCAGCAGTAGACACTCAAGTGTGCTATGGCTCAGCAGTAGACACTCAAGTGTGCTATGTCTCAGCAGTAGACACTCAAGTGTGCTATGGCTCAGCAGTAGACACTCAAGTGTGCTATGGCTCAGCAGTAGACACTCAAGTGTGCTATGGCTCAGCAGTAGACACTCAAGTATGCTATGGCTCAGCAGTAGACACTCAAGTGTGCTATGTCTCAGCAGTAGACACTCAAGTGTGCTATGGCTCAGCAGTAGACACTCAAGTGTGCTATGTCTCAGCAGTAGACACTCAAGTGTGCTATGGCTCAGCAGTAGACACTCAAGTGTGCTATGGCTCAGCAGTAGACACTCAAGTGTGCTATGGCTCAGCAGTAGACACTCAAGTGTGCTATGGCTCAGCAGTAGACACTCGAGTGTGCTATGGCTCAGCAGTAGACACTCAAGTGTGCTATGGCTCAGCAGTAGACACTCGAGTGTGCTATGGCTCAGCAGTAGACACTCAAGTGTGCTATGGCTCAGCAGTAGACACTCAAGTGTGCTATGGCTCAGCAGTAGACACTCAAGTGTGCTATGTCTCAGCAGTAGACACTCAAGTGTGCTATGGCTCAGCAGTAGACACTCAAGTGTGCTATGGCTCAGCAGTAGACACTCAAGTGTGCTATGTCTCAGCAGTAGACACTCAAGTGTGCTATGGCTCAGCAGTAGACACTCAAGTGTGCTATGGCTCAGCAGTAGACACTCAAGTGTGCTATGGCTCAGCAGTAGACACTCAAGTGTGCTATGGCTCAGCAGTAGACACTCAAGTGTGCTATGGCTCAGCAGTAGACACTCAAGTGTGCTATGGCTCAGCAGTAGACACTCAAGTGTGCTATGTCTCAGCAGTAGACACTCAAGTGTGCTATGGCTCAGCAGTAGACACTCAAGTGTGCTATGGCTCAGCAGTAGACACTCAAGTGTGCTATGGCTCAGCAGTAGACACTCAAGTATGCTATGGCTCAGCAGTAGACACTCAAGTGTGCTATGGCTCAGCAGTAGACACTCAAGTGTGCATCATGCCTTTCCCATTTGAATGCTTTGAATAATAGTACTGTCTGGACGAATGACCTGCCAGCATCGTGCAAAGGAATTCTGCTAGCCTGTCCTCTCTACACTGGGATTTTTCGACACTTAGTTCTACTTTTTTTTAAATAGGAACGCGAACTTGAGTGCAAAATTAGAGACTACAGTACAGAAAGGGGTCTGTGCATGAAACAGCACAGAAATAAATCCAGGCTGCAGAGTCATTCTACTAATGTAAGTCCACAAATTTTCGGCCCATTCAAATGTCGGCCTCCCAGGGCTAAAACCCATTTCGGCCGCATCACATTTTCGGCCTCTACTGCTGCTGCCTGTATACACTACCACACTAAACCTTGCAAAACAAAATTTCGGCCGCAACACATTTTCGCCCAAACATGACCAGGCCGAAAATAGCCGAAAATAAATATGGGCCGGATATTTGTTGACTTACAGTATGTGCACTTATGTGAGAACAGCATAGTGGCCACTAAGAACAGCTCACTTATGTGAGAACAGCATAGTGGCCACTAAGAACAGCTCACTTATGTGAGAACAGCATAGTGGCCACTAAGAACAGCTCACTTATGTGAGAACAGCATAGTGGCCACTAAGAACAGCTCACTTATGTGAGAACAGCATAGTGGCCACTAAGAACAGCTCACTTATGTGAGAACAGCATAGTGGCCACTAAGAACAGCTCACTTATGTGAGAACAGCATAGTGGCCACTAAGAACAGCTCACTTATGTGAGAACAGCATAGTGGCCACTAAGAACAGCTCACTTATGTGAGAACAGCATAGTGGCCACTAAGAACAGCTCACTTATGTGAGAACAGCATAGTGGCCACTAAGAACAGCTCACTTATGTGAGAACAGCATAGTGGCCACTAAGAACAGCTCTGCCAATCCGACCTTGGTCTTACCTTTCACGCATATTCAAAGCGATAGTGCCTACAAGCAGAACAAACACAACAGCAAACCACTTGGAACAGGGCAAAGAGCAAAGCGACACGATGACCGCAAATCAAAGGCATTGCAGGATAATGCAATACTATTACACTACTGTACTGAGTGTGGATCTCATAGTCAAACATGCCGTATGCAGAAGTTACTGCTAGGCTGGTGTTTGAAGACATGGAGAGATGATTAGTAGATGATCAGTAACAGTTAGCAGTAGTACTTACCCATGGCTTGCTTTCCCATAGCACATTGGTAGGTGTTACGCGGTGACTGGTTGTGATGCGGGTACGGGATCAGGCCGGCGCACACACCCAGGATGGTGAAAGGTTCAATCTCCAAATGAGTGCTATCACTACGTACACACAAACACACAGGCCGAGAGAAACACACACATATGGGCATGAGTACCAGGCTGAGCAAAAAAACTCAGTCATTTAAAATTAAAAATGAAGACGTGGATGAACTACGAGCACAAGTCAGACATGCAAATACGTGTGCACACGATAAGACTGACACACACTGCACACTAGAACACAACAAAGAGACACATTGAAGATGCTGGACAATCCCCATGTCCCTCAAATCCCACAGCTCTACTACAGCACACTCACCATGTGATGTCAGCTTCATACAATGCAATCATTGCATCACTTTCTTCATTGACGTCCAGGTACTCCACCAGGCCCTGGCTGAGGAAGTCTTCAAAGCTCCTGCAATACGCCAGATTCAGGCAGAGTTCAACTTCAGATAGGCACCACATGAGAAGACACAAGGCAACTACAATTTGACACAAGGTGATATGTGGTTGCATCATTAAAACAACAGGACAGTTTAATACCCCCCAGTCATCGATACACGCAACCTCTAACCTCAAGTGCACACATTTCCCGCTATGCAGGATAGGATCGGATGTACACAGTGCAACTAACTTTAACAGCATGTATTAGCATACATTATCGGGAGTAACTGAGTCATAAGAACATTGAGCGCCCACAGAACGTCAAAGAAGTGTGTGCACTAGTGTGCAGTGCACATGTTCTGTACCGAAGACCGCGAGTTAGCTCCGTGATGTGATGCTGCTTGACCCGTGGCTGACCATCAGCAACAATGATGTAGGGCCTGGTAGGATAGGCACACAGAACAAACAGCAACAGCAGCAACAGCAACAGCAACGTCAAGCTAGACACCCCTCAACAATAAAGATGAAAAAAGCATACACAATAGGGAACCCGCACTTCAGCAGAACAAGGAAGTTACTCATGATGGTAGTGTGCTACTAGTGCTATTACAGTACTTGGAATAAGATCTGGAGTCTTCACAGTTCACATTGTACACATCATGAACAATGTTTGTAGAATGATGTGCAGGTCCGGCCACGCGAGCAATGCTATTCAAGCAAAACAGAAACCAGTAAGTTAACCTCCAGTACACACTGAGAAGTGCACACTACAACGGGAAAGACAAACGCCATCACCAACAAAACATAACCTCGCACCACCAATGATTCACCTATAAACACTTGCCGGGTACTTACCGACACACCCGACCACCGTCCGATGCAATGAACACACATCTACACAGTGCAGAGAAGAAACAAGAAAAACCACAAGAATGCAAACGGTAAAGGGCAGGCAACTTTGAAAGCATGAGCGACATGCACATGATTGTCATGCAGAATATGACACTTAAGCACGATTCACAACTTCACTTTCGGTAGCGCAACGTGTAACATGCAACACTTGCAACAAGGATATACCTGTCGTGTACTGTCGCAAGCAGCCGCAAGGCCACTTTCGCAGAAGTCGACCAAGATCAGCTTTTGCGACGTGCGATGCGCAACATACATGTACATCAATGGGGTACAGCTGGATGCACAGCATTTAGATGTCGCAGAAACCAAAACAGATTATGAATGGTGTGTCGCTGTCGCAGCTCGCTGCTGGTGTCGCATGCCACGCATCGCAAAAAAAGTGGCATTGTGGATGGTGCTTGATACAATTCAGTAAGTTACTAGGACTTCCTGTCCTTTTCAAACTAATCACCTCTCAAGTGACAGAGTTTCTGTTATGCAAGTCACCTCACCTTTGTCGCTTGCTCGGATAAATGGAGACAAACTCAGAGATATGGCCAGCTGGAGTAGAGAACATAATGTCACATTGAGCAAGCTGCACAGACAGTGCTAGTATGCACAGACAGTGGTAGTCTGCACAGACAGTGCTAGTAGTATGCATAGACAGTGCTAGTATGCACAGACAGTGCTAGTATGCATGGCACAGCGATGTACTGATGTAGGTGGCACCAGCAACACTACACACTGAGGTGCTCGAGTAGTGCTAGTGGATACCAGGGGACTGGACAAACTAATTTACCTGCCCTTGCTAATCTCATAGACCTGGGTACTAGTAATTCAGCATGGCATAATCCAACAGAATATTACTAAAAGCAATAGATGCACTGTATCAGGTGCATGCATGCAGTGACTGAAATTGTGGCAGGGAATTGTACCTCGTCTCATGAGCCGTACTGTTTTCACCAGCCTCTCATAGTCGCGCACGATACCCAGTATGTTACCTGCCAGCATAAGAACAAGTATGCATACCGGTCACACATAGTGAAGTACGTACAAACACACGCATGCATGCACACACACGCACACGCAAACACACGCACACAAGCACAAGTGACCACACACAAAGTACAGCACACAGGATAATGCAAAGTCTGATACAGTCGAATGTCACTTATCCGGTCGCCAGTTATCCGAGCACGTTGGTTATCCGACAAGCCCGGGAGTGGTAATTTTATGGCTCTCAACAGTAAAATTCTAATTTTTTTGTTTGTTTGTATATTATACGGTGTAATATACATTTACTTGAAGTAGATGTGGTCAAGTATGCTAACATGTATGTGTACATGGAGCAATTCATGAATATGCATGAATATATTTGGGTATTGTGTACATAAATCAGTGAAATCCAGCCATATATGCACATAAAAATGATAATTATCAGTTATCCAACATATTCGGTTATCCAACATATTCGGTTATCCAACATGCCTGATTCCCGAAGTGGTCGGATAAGTGACATTCGACTGTACATGATAAATGTCATTTGAAGTGTTTGGTCTCAGTACAGTGATACACAAATCAACTGTACTCAATGAAGTGTGCACATACCGTTGAGAAAGACCAAGTAGATGTCCGGTGATGAGAACTCCTCTCCTGACAGTAAGTGCAAGTCCTGGAAACAGAAGAAGGAATTGCGTACACAATAAGACTACCGGTACACATGCATGGTCTGCACTGGTAAGGGAGCTGAATGGAGGTTGTGCTGCTGCTGTTGAGTATGATACACGGCTGGTGCCACTGACATAACGGTACAAGTAGAAGATGGCGTGCCGAAGAAAGGTACAAATTGCACTGGGAGTTCGGGATAGTCGAAACAAAGTTGTGATGCGTGGATCAGGTGCACGTGGACACCCTCTGAAAAGAGCGTTTCAAAATCTATAAAATGCCAGCTCCGATCTCGCCACTTTGCCAGATTTGTCTCCACTCTTCAGTACCATAATATTCAATCCATACATACAGCTGCAGCGGAGTCTTTAAATTCGACCTCCAATCTCAACATGAATAGCTAAAATGTTCAACCTTTTTCTAGGTCTGGATCCGTCCATGCAATGGTACGTACCTCAACACCAACGTTGAAAGCCAGGCGGACGATCGGGGCTTCTTCATCGTCCACAGTGACGTGAGTCATGAGAGCAAGATTCTTGACAAGACCGCACGCCTGGAGCAGGAAAAAGGCAGCAAACACAGTGGAGCCAGATGACACCGAGTCACACGGAGAGACTGACTACCGGTATTGCTGTCATAACGAGTGGCATTACGATAGGATGCCAGACTACATAGTAAGCTTGGTCACTTATGGCATGGCCCAACGTGATAAATAAGGTGTAGTGGCTGGGGAAACTGCGGATACTACCAATACTGAGAAGGTTAGTAGCAGCCTAGAGCACTCTATGACCTGCCCTTCTTCATGCAGTATTCTAGCATACTCCTACACCCCCGGTGACACAGTGTGCAATGGTGTACAATGTCTGCGAACGCGGTGGCACCGTCAAGTGGTAGCGTTGCCCGCGCCATGGCCAGCATACAGAAAACACGCAAGCAACCGCTCGGCAATTGCACGCTTACCTCTCCTTCAGGGGTGTCGCACGGGCACAACATGCCCCACTGTGATGGTTGCAACGAGCGAGGACCGCTCACTTTACGTGTCTTTTCAAACTGCACACACACAAACCCAGACACAGAAATCAAGTGAAAGGCACAGGGTCAAGCATCAAGAATCATAACTTCACTACACGACCTGGTTAGCTGTGAAAACAGGTTTACTGCCACTACATGTACTTCCGTCCACCGTCCCTCATGATGGCACGTGAGAGTTACAAGTTCAACTTACAACCTTCAAGTAAGTCATGGAAAACTCATACCACGAGAACAATGGAACACTATTTTTGGGATTTGAACGTCGTTTTCATGCTTTGAAGTAGGTCATGGAAAACACAACCATGTGAACAGCATGCACTCACAGGCCATTACCACGTGTTGTGCAGCAGCGCCTGCGGTGGCAGCGGCGGCAACAGCAACAGTAAAACAAAGTGCTATCGTTGCATGTTAGTAGGAGTGGTCACTCACCTGACTGCTGACCCGAGTCATCATACCCAGTGCCGAGATGTAGGACAGGCGCGACAAGACCTGCGTCACACCAGCACGGTCCATCTTGAAACGCTTCACAGACCAGTTGCCCTGACATGCAGTGGGGCAAACAAAAAGAGCACAGCAAACCAGTGGTGAGCCATGGAATACAAACAGATCAACAGTAGATAATCAGTTGCCTGGCGTGATACTTAACGAGAACAATTTGAACTGTATCGTGTAGAGGCGCAAAAGGCGATCGCCACGGAAAACTGTAAATAATAAATTAACAATGCAGGTAACAAGCAATCATTATGAGTGTGTGCACACGGACAGCTACATTAGCACACGCGTATTGGCACAAGGAATACAGCAGCACACACTACATACAGTTGAGATGGCGTGCACCAGGCCGTTGGTGATTATGTCCGGACGCATCTGCTTAGTGATGTCGAACGGCTCTGCCCGCGGCTTGTTGGCCATCTTGTCGGCATACTGCTTCAACTGTGCACAATGCACACCCACAAGTGAAACCACAAGCAGGCGATAGGCGTTATGCACGGATCATGCTGTTGAAAGCTGAGGCTTCGAATGGCAACAACAATACTTCCTGCACATTGGTTTTTGCTTTTGCGATTTACTTTTTCCACGCTACGTAATATCCATTGTCCATTTCTTTTACATCAGGTTTTGCTGTTCTGCATTTCCCCAGACAGCAGTCTGCTTGGTTTGAAGATTGGAAAAAGCTCAGAATGGCTCTGGCTTGGTCAATGGATGGTGACCCAACTATCTGACAATTTCGCCCGGGAGGGTGACACTGTAGAACTGTTCCTGTCCTGCATGATGGACTAGTAACTAACAAACTACATGTAATACAAGTGCTAGAATACTGAGAAAGCAGTGACTGGCTGGCACTGATTGTGAATCTGTTCACCGGAAGTACCGCAACACCTTGTCACCATCCAAGGAGACTATTCTGGCGAGATTGGGAGTTACCAGGGATAGGTTACAAAACATGGAAAGACAAGACAAAGGAAATCTTGAGCAAGAAACTGGAAATTACTTGTAGCCGGCAGAAGCTCTCTGGAGGCGGTGAGTAGTGGTGGTAAGAGTGGGTGCGGCAGGCCAAACGTACTACGATCTGTGCCAGCAGGCTTGGACCGGACCATCAGTCATATTTCTAT